AAAACAAATACGAAGAAGCACATATTACGTCGGTGACGTAAGGTGAAGCACCTACACACATACATTAGTAAATTTGAGACTGACGTGAATTAATACCTAACTACTATTTTTATTTTATTCCAGAAGCTGGAAGTAATTCGATTTTTTGTTGTAAAAATAGTTTAAGTTTAGAAATATTTCTGGGATATTCCGAGTTCCTGGGAACATTATTTGGAGAATATTCCAAGTATTACATTATTAGGATAATGATTTGACATAACATAATTAAATAAGAATAACCTCATAGTTTTCCGTCTCAAGTATATGACGTAAATAGAACAAGTCGTTATTGTAGGGACATTCGGCGATTCTGGGTTATAAAAATATTGTGATGGACCTCATATATTTTTTTATATTTTCTGGTTTTTATATTTTTTTGCATACAAATGTTTTGTAGAATATAGTAAGTATTGCTAAGATTTATCAAAATCGTAAAATTTTAATTTTTTTTTTAAATTTATAATGATTGGACATTTCTATATTTTCACTGTAAGACTAATTGTTATATAGTCACTTTGTGTTGAATAACATTTTGAATGGTATACTTCAAAAATGTATCATTGTAATCAATTTCAAAGAGTTTTTGGTAGGCCAATCGAATGCATACCGCCTAAAAATCCAAAACTTATTTTTTTCAGGATATTTAAGGGAATGTCCGATTCAATATTACTGTAATGCAATAATTCACAAAAATGAAAACATGTCATTTTTTACAAAACTATTAACATGAAATAAATATGTTGACTTATTATAAATAAAAATGTAATTGCTGAAAAATATTCTAATTATAATATTGTTATGGTTTTGTTCACTCCCATCATAAATATTTTAGCTGATAATTACTTACTATTTTACAACCCTAATACAATGTTTAATTTGAATGAATAAATATCAAAAATATAACTAAGGAATTTTTCCATTTAAAATGATTTTTTGAAAAAAATGCATTTATGATGGGAAGATCAAAACTTTCTTTTCTTTTTCTCCTTTTTCAACCAAATCATTATAATATTTATGTGCTGGTTAACTATGATTATATTCATATTATTTATAATAGTTCTAAGTAATGTATGTTTACATTAAGCCATATTCAAATATAAAACAACATATAAATCATATAATATGCATAATTTGATGAAAATACTTTTTGAAATAATTCAAGTACAAACACTAATATTTTGAAAAGTATTCTATATTTTTTAATACCCATTAAAAATAAGAATATTTCGATTAAAATCTATATAAATACATAAAAAAAATTACAAATCCTTTCAAATCCTTTCAAATGTTTTATAAATTATTTTGTGGACCTTATACAATTGTCATTAACTAAACCAATTTTCATGTTGTGCACTTAATCTAAAGAAACTTATATTACATAGGTATACAAATAGGAATATTTTTACATACATTATATTTATATTTTACACCGTATAGCGTATACCTATTATTAAGGATCTAGGACATTTTGGAGCTGTTTTGGGGCGAAGCCATTTTGACGTAGTTAACTTAGTTTTTGTTTTACTAAAATTACTATTTATTTAATTTAAAAAAACACAATAATTTAAAAAACATTATTATTTTAAAGAAATATTATGTGCTACACCTCTTAAATATGTTAAAATGTCTCGTGTATCTGATTCTTCGTCGCGGTCGTTGCAGCAACGACCGCGGCGTCTCTATCGACGTCCGCGAGATCGCGACCGACAACCGGTCTGGCCGCCGCCTGCGGCACGGCCGCCGGCCCGGTCAGCGACGGACGACGGGATCAGCTTTTGCCTGACCGTCATCGCCGTCCCGTTGCAGCCCTTATTTAAGATACTTAATTGTTTAATACCAAAATAAACAGAAGTATTAACCAACTTGTCACTTGTATTATTATACTCAATCCGTTCCAACACCTACATCTTGTGCTATTTTTAGTAGTCTTTTGTTCGTGTCAATGTATTTTTTGAGCTTTTTAGGAGGACTTCTTCCTGATTCCAATTGAAATAAATATGTATCCTTTCCAGCTTGAATCTTTCTTAAGCAAGTTATAAATGACCATAACGTAGGATGGACCATTCCCATTTCAACATATTTTATTCTCGGTTGGCGGCCTCTGCATGATTATTTGTTCTGTGTATACCATTTAGTACTCGCTCGTTCAAATTCCAAATTGATGGTGGAAATCTAACGGATCTCCGTCCACGCCCATTTCGATTTAATCTTCCGATATAATTATCTTCAAACCATTCAAGCAGGGATTAAAGTTCTTCTGATAAATTTGCAGCTAACGCGTCGATTGCTATGTCAATTTTGTTGATGCAAACAAATGCAATTGCAATTATCATTTTAACAGAAATAGAAAAATCTCCATCGTTATTATATTTTGATATAAGATGCACTTCACCAATTTTTTTTTTTGAAATTTTTTGTGAAATGAAAAAAACAACCATAAATAATAAGATTTGGGAAATGTTTCTTCACTGCATTTATAGCAGCTAATTCAAAGTCTAATGTAATAGATGTAAGATATAATTCAACTGCATGGACGCCGTGAGGGGGTGCAAGGGGGTGCATTTGCACCTCCTTGGCTTGACAAAAAAAAAAAATTAAATTACAAAATTGAAGGGTATTACAACTATTTTATTTGGCATAATTATCTACATTATTTCTTTTATTTATTATTATACATTTATACTTATTTTACGATATTATCTATATATAATATATTATTTATATTATGTATTATAATACTTATTTTTTAAACAATAATAATTGTAAACGCACAGTTTTTTTCCAAATTCTTCAATTGAATTTTCACTGAACTTGGTATCCTCTTCTAGTCTCTTTTTATGTACACTCATCATACACAATCCGGACAATCGGTCATCACCCATAGTGGCTCTGTTCCATGTCTTGACTCGTCTTAAAGTACTGAATGAACGTTCAATGCTGCAAGTTGTTGTTGGAAGAGTTGCTCCGATCTTGATTGCATCGGCTACAGCTGGATAAAAATCTTTTGACATTTCGGTCAAATCTAAGTATTCAATAGAATCTAATGGTTTTGTGCCATTATTCCACATTTCATACCATGTATTGTGGCTTCAGTTACAAAATTCGATGACAAAATATTTCCATAGAGTTTTACAATATCATTTGATGTGCAAATAAACTGTTCTTTACTCATGTTTTTCATAGCATAGGGATGAAGATCCATTAGAGAAAATGATTGGTTTTGAATTTTAGAAAAGCGATCTTTTAATGATGATATAACTGAATCTAAATAAGGAACGAAAATGGATATTCTGAAAAACTCTTCATGGTTTGTAGATGGATGATTTGATCTTTGACTTTGTCATGCAGCTACTCGAGGTTTGAACATCAAGTTCTTCAGCGATTTCTTTAGATTTTGCAAATAATACGGTAAATTCAGTCGACAAATCATTTCTATACAATTGCAAAATATCAACTAGTTTGGTTATGTGATTATTCACCGTTTTCAAATTTATATTAACTTGTTGAAGTAGATTGCATACTGGTTCAAATTTAGCGGAATAAACAGCTATTACTTGCAATGTAACAATAAAAGCTGGTGTAGTAGCAGCAGTAAAGAGTTGATAAGATTTAATTTTGGTTTTTGCATTTGCTGTACTTTTTGATAGTTCTTCCAAAGCTTTGACAATAACAATAAAATTGTCAGCAAAAATTCTAATACTCTTATATTTTGCTGACTAACGAGTTTCACAAAGTAAAGAAATATTGGGTACAATTTGTCTACGCAATGTGCTCTCTCTAAAAAAAGTTACTATTTCTTTTATGATCCCGGTTGTATTTCTTACTTCACTTACGCTTTTTAAATCATTAAATACAAGATTTAATACGTGACTAGCACAATGGAAGAATAGTGCCATAGGATAGGCTTCATTAATTAATTTTTGAACACCACTTATATGCCCAGCCATTGTAGCGCATCCATCATATCCTTGGCCCACAAGTCGATTCAAATCTAAATTACAACTTTCTAAAAATGCAATGATGGTTTTGGCAATGGATTTAGAATCTAGTTTTGTAAGAGGTGAGAAACCAAGAAATTCTTCACAAATTTTGTGTTTTTGAAACTTAACGTCGTAAAACAAATACCGAACACTTATTGACAATTGTTCGGTACCACTTATATCGGCAGTCTCGTCAGCTAAGACCGAAAAAAAGATGAATGTTTCAATTCTTCAATAATGTTTTGTCGAAGAACATTAGCACACGTTTTAATTAGTTCATTTTGAACTTCATGTGAGATATACAACGCATTTTTAGCTCCAGACTTTAAATGCTTATTCAAAACTTCATCCCCCTATTCGACACGGAATTGTAATAAATCTGTAAAAACTGAACCTTCATCATTTTTACCTCTCAGTGGAAGTTCGTTCTTTGCACAAAATAAGATTGACGATATGATAGATCCTCTGCGATATTCGTTATATAATCGTTATATATATTTGTAAAGAAAAACCTTTATCCATTCACCATAAATTATGACTCACAAGGGCAGATGTTGTTATTCCATGTCTCATCCTTTGTCTTTTTTACCCCTACCAAATATTATCTCAAATCGACAGACACTTGGCTCTGTGAGAGTCGACAAACGGTCAGTCTGTCTTCAGTCTTATACTAATCCACACCTACGTTTCTCCAAGTCTTTAAGAGTTGCTTATAATTTTTCAAGTATTTATTTTAAAACGATTTTTAAAAACATGGCTGGATCAATTGAAGACAACGCAGCATTATACAAGAAAAAAACCTTTACTTATGTGCCACCAATGTGCCACCATCACCTCCGGCAGACCTCATTGAATCCACAAGCTAGACACTCGACTTTGCGGCCCGAAAATTTGTTCAAGTTGGTATTCTATAAGATGATGAAAACTACCAGGTCGTTGTAAATATATTAACTTCATCGCGATACGTTCAGATTACTACAGACTTTAAAAAAAAAATATTTTCTTATATGGGGCATATACTGTCCTTTATACTGAATAAGCCGCAGAAATATAGACGCGTTATATTTTTCGAAGATGAAATAATGAAACTATCGTCCATAATATATACCGGTGAAAATGTGTTGACGATTGAAGATAAAACTCAAAGCGGATGCAGAGTGTTATTGAACCGGGAGAACCTTATTCAACTACAATATCTGGAGCGGAGCATTATAGAAAGTATTATACGAAAAGAAGTATACAGCATACCATTAATTCATTACCAGTCCGAGGAGTTTGTGACATATCTAAACGAGAAATGTACACAGATGGAGTCATCACCTAAAAATTTGGATGAGATGACGACATTCATTAAAAACGTACAAGACGATCGAGGTATAAAATCTTTTCCAAACCTGTCAAACCAAATACAAATGTGTTCAACTAAACAACTAGCAGAATCTGTGCTTAATAAGGTAATTCATAAATATTGTTGGGTACGTTATTATCAGCGCCGTCGAAGAAGGCGGTGTGGGAACTAATGATCTACACCGCACAACCTGTTGTTTCCCTGATAAGTGAAATCGATAGCGAAATCAATAGCGCGTATCGTTATTATCATTGTTTTCGTTGATAATAAGAGTTCCGTCGCAAAACAGTCTGTTCGTTCGGTTGTTGTTGTTGTTTTTTGACGCAAACCACGTTCTGTTCGTGTTTTTTTTCTTTTGGTTTTGTCGTACGTAAGCTGTCGTGTGCGCCCCCGTCGTCGCCAACAATTACGGCCTCGTCGCCGTACGCATGTAAGTTGTCGTGTGCGCCCTCGTCGCCGCCAACAATTACGGCCTCGTCGCCGTACGCATGTAAGTTGTCGTGTGCGCCTTCGTCGCCATCGACAATTACGGCTTCCGTCGCCGTTCGTATGCAAGTTTCGTGTGCGCCCTCGTCGCCATCGACAATTACGGCTCCCGTCGCCGTTCGTATGCAAGTTTCGTGTGCGCCCTCGTCGCCGCCGACAAGTACGACCTCGTCACCGTACGAACTATACCGTTGTACACGCCCTCGCCGTCGCCGGTGATCACGGCCTCGTCGCCG